GCCAAAACCTTACCCCCGACTGTCGCTAGCGCCTAGCTGGCCCACTCCCTTGCTGGCTGCTTTCCGTCCCGCCGATTCATTTACCCCTCCCCCGCCAGCGAATCCGTCCCTACCCATCTTCTCTTCCTAACTTCCTATTTGATTTTTTGGGTTTATCACTTTTGTTAATTTTTACTTCGTACATTTTAGCTGGATTTGGGGAGGATGGTGGTGCGTCGGGGTGGGGGAATGTGGGGAGGATCGTGGTGTGTCAGGGTGGGGGAACTTGGGAGGATGGTGGATCGTGGTGGAGGAAATGTGAGGACAATGGCGGATCGGGATAGGGCAATTTGCATGGGGAGGGGTTGTTCGTGGGAAGGGGATAGGTTTGGTAAGGTGGTCTTTAGCAGCGTTGACTGGGGAAACGCGCCAACGGTATCCGCCAGCTAGGGGTGGCAGTGCTAGTGGCGGCGGTGCTGTCGACTACCATGTTGGGCTAGTGGAGGTTTTTTTTTATAAAAATTAATTTATTTTCTTAATTAATTATTTTTTAATTTTTTTTTAGTTTATATTTTTAATTATTTTTTTAATATATATTTTTGACTAATCACGTTATGACACGTGTCAGTGACTTTTTATAACAAGTTTTATAACCGGTTGGGACCATTTTAAGCAAATTCATATTAAAGTTTAGATTATTAAAAAATAATCAAAAGTTGGGATTATTTTAGGCGAATCGAGCAAAGTTGAGATTATTTATGTCAATTTTTCCAATATTAAAAAGAAAAATAAAGCTCATAGAAAAAATGAATGATGAAATAGTATCTGAGGAAGACAAATTAAATTATTATTATTAAATAGAATTGACCAATTTTCAAAATTTGATATTGACCAGAATTTTTAATAAAATAAAATAAAAATACAAAATAATGACATTATTTATTGTTTTGGAGGGAAAATATTTAATGACAACATGACATGTGTCTTATTTTAAAATAGTATAATATCAGCGGTTGCTACATTAATATTAATTATTATTATTATTATTATTATTATTATTATAGAAGTGCATGAGGCCCAATAAGTTAGGTGACTTAGGCCCAACAAAAATATAAAATAAAATCCTATATATAATTTAAGAGACGTTTTAATGAGAAGCCTCCAAAACCCCAAATCCCCAATGCTCAACTCTCATGCAATTAGATTTTTTTTTTTTTTTTTTAGAAAAAATTAACTACCAATCCCACTACTTTATTTTTAATTTTTTTTTTTATCATTTTAAAAAAATAAATCATAACTACTCATTCACTATTTCCTTTTTGTTTTTGTTTTTGTTTTTTTTCAAGGGACTACTACTAACATTTCACTTTGTGTTTTTTTGGTACATAGTATAGCATATGACATGCATTAGCACGAGTATACAGTTCCTTTATCAACAATTCACTGTAGCACTCAAAAATCCCCAACATTTCTCTTTTTTTTTAAACACTACGTACTAAAATTTCTCTTTGTTTTACGAGTATTTTTTTGGTACATAATATAATATATGTCATGCATTACCACGAGTATACAGTTTCGTTATCAACAATTCACCATAGTACTGTAAATCCCAACCCTTCAATTATATGCTTTGTTTTAGGGACTACCCTCCAAACATTTTCCACTTCTTTAATAATCAAAAGAAAAAAAAATGTACAACACGTTTTTGTGGAACTGGCCTCAGCGAATAACTACTTGCAACATAATGAAGTATGTAATTCCTAGAGCAAGATAGTAACTCATATGACACTAACCGAGTAACACGAGTAACCCCTATAACACTGAACGGGTAACCTCTATAACTTTGAAAAAGTAAACTTCATAATAGCATTGCGTGACCACCGACATAAAAGAGTAAGACCCTGTTTTTTAAGCTTCTAAGCAATTAAAGCATATAATATCATATTTCAGCATAGCACAGCAGGTGTAATCACATTATTAATACGATTATTAATACTCATAACAACAGAGCTAATTAGCTATTCGGTGAGGCCAGTCGCGCAAGTAACGTGTTGTACATTTTGTATTTTTTATTTTTATTTTGATGATTAGGGAAGTGGAAATTGTTTGTAGGACAATCCCCAAAACATATGCATATAATTGAAGGGTTGGGGATTTAGAGTGCTATGGTAATTGTTGATAAAAGAATTGTGTATCCGTGCTAATGCACGATATGTATTATACGCGAAAGAAAATAAGATAAAGTGAAATGCTAGTAATTTTTTTTTTTTTAAAAAAAATGACAATTCCTTGAAGAAAAAAAAGAAAAAAAAAAGTGAGATGGGTAGTTATTATCCATATTGATTTTTTTAAGTTAAAAAATAAATAATATAATGGGATGGGTATTGGGTATTTATTGGTTCTTAAAAAAATAAATTAAAAAAAAAAATCGTGAAGTGACTCTGCAATCTAATATATCATATCATATCATATAACTAATATATAAAGCTAAACTTTTATCTAGGCGACGATGCAGCGACACTTGGCGTTCCAACTTTTCGCCAAGTGTCGTGCCACGTAGGATAGAGTTTTATGGAATTCAATTTGTAGGATAAAAAAGTTAGTTTAGAATTTTATTTTAATCAAATTTGGATAGAATTTTAGGATAAAATTGTTAATTTAGAGTTTTATTTTTATAAAGTACCAATATTTTTATCATAGAATTTTATTTTTTAATAAAGTACACATTGAATTATATCTTTATTGAAAGTACACATTGAATTATATCTTTATTGAAAAAATAATTAGATTATAACTCTCATAAATTATCATATAAATTTATTTTTTGTATCATAATATTTTTATGGAGCGAAGGAATTATTTCAAAATGTAGCACATCTATTGTTTATAATATATTCTAATCAATTAAAATAATATACTTCACAGTCTAATAAAATTTTATTATTGTGTGTAGACTTGTATATTAGGTCGGGTTACCAGTCATTTTAGGTAGGGTCATTATTTTAGGTTACGGGTCAAGAAATATTTTTCACCAATATTATCATTATTAGTCATTACATGTCTACAAGTTTAAATCGTCAAAAAAAACACCAATTGCTAACTAATTTTGTATCAATAATACGTTTTAAAATTTGACATATAGATTAAAAATATATCTTAAAATTCAATAAACAATCCGGGCATCGCACGGGCACAAAACTAGCGTTAAACTTTTAGCCAGGTCACGAGGCAGCGACACTTGACATTCTAACTTTTCGCCAAGTGTCAATGCCAAGTGTAGCGCCACGTTGGATAGATTTAAATACATTTCATAAGATAAAAAAATTAGTTTAGAATTCTATTATGAATCAAATTTGGATAGAATTTTAGGATAAAATAGTTAATTTAGAGTTTTATTTTCAATAAAATAAAATTTGAGTGTCGCGCCACGTTGTATAGATTTAAATTGACTACATAAACAACCCGAGCATCGCACGGGGCACAAAACTAGTATATATAAAGGGGTTTTTCCCGAGTTTTTAGAGAGCCACGTAGGATTAAATTTTCTTAGCGCGTCATGTAGGATTATAAATTTAAGTGGTGACCAATTAAATAAAAGATTATTAATTTCTTTTACAATTAAAGAATTCAAATACCACGTAAGCAAAATTGGCGAATGAAATTTTAAAATTTAAATTAGTTAAATACAAAATATTATCTGTAAAAATTATGAATTTTATCTAATATTTTAAAACAAATATAATAACAATTTTAATCACGTAAAGTTATAATAGATTTAAGAGTTGTTTTTTTTCAAAATTTTACCACAACTCTCCAACAACGATGTCTTTCTATACAATCCTCTCACAAATTCGCACTGTATAAGTATAACACTAAAGGTCAAGTGTATAGTTTGAAGGATAATTCATGGAGATGTATTGAAGGGATTCCATAATATTGTTATCGTGGTAGTCATGGTGTTCTTGTTAATGGTGCTTTGCATTATCAGGTTATGGAGTTCATTGTTATCTTTGATATTCAAACTGAGAGCTTCTCGCATCATATCGATTACCCGAATTATGGTTCCAAGTTTGTTACTGTGAAATTGACAGAGTTACCTGGGTGTTTAGGTTTATGTGCGTTCAAATTTTGTGGATTTGATGGTTTGGTAATTGGAAAGGTTGATTTGTGGGTAATGAAGGAGTACGGAAACAAAGAGTCTTGGGTTATGTTGGTTAGTATTTGCGAGCCGGAGATTAGGAGTCTGAATTCTTATAATTTGATTAGACCTTTTGTTTACATGAAAGATGATAGAAGAATTTTGTTAGAGTTATATGAAGGGGATTATTGTTGGTACGATTGGAGTCCAAAGATGTTAAAAGAATCGCGACACATGAGCTGCCAAAGGGAGGCAATAGAAGGGGAATGGAATTATTAATTGGCAGCCTTGTTTCGGTTCAAGATAAATGAAAGGTACTGCAATTTAGATACCATTATTGACATTTTCCTAGTCTGACCAGAGTAATGTTATTTATGTTTTATTCTCTGAATATTTCTTGAAGCTATATCATAGAATGATTTGATATGGAATATGTTCATAAGCTCTTAATAATTGGATTTTGTGTGCCATTTTTCTGCTATCCTTTTGGTTTAGATTTGCATAGGATGTTGCCATTAGGAGGAAGGAGAATTCCGGATTTGGCACAATTGTTTTTGATTTGTCAATATTAGTTTAGTTGTTTAGGTTATCTCAAATGGTAACTGATGGTTTAGTTAAGCCAAGCATCATTTCAAAAGAGGAAATGGTTTAACACCCTGCAGTATTGTTTTATCCCTTGAATTTAGATTTGGTTCTTTTTTAGGGTACTCTATTTTCCCACGCTAAATGCAAAAAACGCAAAGAATAGAATAAATATAAAGGGAAGTTAATGAGCTCACATTGTACTTTGTCTCAGCATTGACTCTTTCTTCAGAGTCTAGCAGACCTCTTTTCATTAAATTAGAAAGTTCAAATTTTAGCATAAAGGATATATAGCAAACTTTAAAATGCATTCATGATAATCTTGGCTTCTAGTTTAGCAACACCACCCAGCTGGTAAAATTAAGTTTTAGTTCAAGGTTGCAACCCTTGTAGAATCTAGTTTCCCATACTTAACAAAGAATTTTCGGAAGAATTGAAAATGGGATTCGAAGGAGATGATAGATGTGGCTTTGGTGGCACTTGTAGTGACTCAAGTTGACCTTCTAGCATTTCTAGAACTCTGTTCATTGGTGGTCGATTTGAAGGATATGATTGTATACACCATAAGCCCACCAAAATCATCTTTCTTTGTAATTGCTTCGCTTCATCATCTTCTATTATCCCATCGTTCTCAATTTCATCTCTGAGCTCCAATCGACGGTATATCCAATCAGGGAAATACATATCACTAGTACGCTGTGCTTCAGCAACTACATTGTTCCGACCACATACCATGTCTAGGAGCATCATTCCGTAGCTATAAACATCTGATTTATGAGAAACGCCACCAAAATTTCTGCAGAAAACTTCTGGGGCAATGTAACCAATTGTCCCTCTTGCTTCTGACATTGATATCAAACTTTCCTTTGGACAACACAGTCTAGCCAAACCAAAGTCTGAAATCTTTGGACGGAGCTCTTCATCAAGAAGTATATTATGAGGCTTAATGTCAAAGTGTAAAATTCGCGTATTACAACCTCTATGCAAGTAGTCAAGTCCCTTGGCAATTCCAACCGCAATGCTGTATAATGTATTTGATGGCAACGACTGACCACTTGCTGAACTATATATAAACTTTTCAAGAGATCCGTTGGGCAAGAACTCAAAGACAAGAGCTCGTTTGTTTCCTTCAAAACAAAAGCCTAAGAGGGTCACAATGTTGACATGATTAGTTCTACCCATGCTTACAACCTCGTTGATAAAATCATCTCCATCACCTTCCAACTTCTTTAACTTCTTTACGGCCACCAAACGACTGTCATGTTGGTTTCCTTTGTAAACAGCACCGTAGCCTCCTTCACCAAGTTTGTGTTTGAAATTACTGGTCATTTTCCTTATCTCTCTATAGGTGTATCTTTTTGGGGCTAAAGATCCATAGCTTTTTAGAAAAGCTTCCACATTTTGGTTCATTGCAGTCCCTTTATTCCACAGAGCTGTAAATCTTTTTGTTCGTTGTCTTCGTTTTCCACAAATAATGATGACGATTAAAGTGACCAAAACCACAGCCCCAAGTGATGAACCTAATACAACTATGGAGAAAAACAAGTTATAATTCTGGTAAGCAATAATACAAGATCTAAAATCCACAATAAAAGAGAGCATTTTCTATCTTTCAACCCTGCAGTTAGCATCTGCATGACTGCACCAGTGCACACTATACAAATAATATATTTTTACTAAGGAAGATGGAATTCATGATAAGTATGAGAAATTCCCTGTTTCTTTGGTGAGAAACGAAATTTGTTTCTCATGGGGGCAATTTCGTGAATAAATCAATAACTCTTTCATTATTGTGGGCTCCACAGTTGAATAAAGTTGTTGATTTATTTACGAAAATGTAATGTGAGAAACAAAATCTGTTTCTTATCGTGAGAAACTGGGGCACCCTCTGATAAGTATTTCATAGTAAAAGCTGTTGTTGTATGACTTGTATCAAGTGTTTTGCAGAGCATAGAAGTCACCTTAGTAAAGGATATGTACTGTAAAAACAAACGAGAATTCATTACCTGAGAGTGAACTGACTCTTGCAATCCAAGGTTCTGCAAGAAAAATAAAGGCATGGCTTCTCCATCATGCAGCTCAAATGACATATGAGTATTGTAACGGCCTCAACTAAACACAAACTTATTACAGCATTCTATAGTTTTATTACTTAACTCAGACACTCAGTTAATGAAAAATTAATCAAGGTATATTTTACTAGTCTTGGTTAAATAAAGGCATGGCTTCTCCATTATAAACGCAAATGATACATTAGCAATTAGAAATATAAAGAGAATGTTTTAATAACACAATCAAGAAAGCAGTCAGGCAGATTGGTATGACATATAGTGATTGATCATCATGGGATTTCATGATGGCGTAATCATAACAAGTCACGGTCACTATGAATGCTGTACGATTGTTTCAGTCTGAATAAATTGAAATTTATGGTGATATAGAAAGAGCAACTCTGATGCTTAATTAGCTCTCAGCACGTACATATTTGCATCGATAAGCTGCTTTTTTCAGTTATGCTAATTGATCAAGCAGTCCAAATTTACTAACATTAGGGATATTAAGAATAACTATTTCTCGAGCTTACAAAATGTAATCCTCCAAACTAATTAAGTTAATAAAGAAATCATTGGCACCAATTAAAATGGATAAAAATCGTCATAGCACATTACACTTCCACACACATGCCTACATAGACACATCTTTGACAAAAAAACAAAGATAGCATAACCAACAGACTACATCATTCCTCACTCGCATTACTCTCTAAACTCGTTTCCAACCACATTTACTTTGCTACATAATCATCATAGCACATCACACTTCCACACACATGCGTACATAGACACTCCTATGCAAAAGACTATGTTTACTTCACCTGATTTTACTTATTACAATTCTCCAAAAAAAAAAAAAAAAAAAAAAAAACTTATTACAAATCATATCAGAAAAAATAAGTTTAGACGTACCCTTTGAATTATCATTTTTTTCCATTTTGATGTAATTATAAGCTTTTCAGTGCAATGTGATCATATAATTATAAGCTTATAAAATAAGTTTAGAGTTGCCTATAATTCATATAATTGTACCGACTTATTTAAAAATAAGTTTTGACATACCTTATCATCTATATGGAAGTAGTAGTAATAATAATAATAAGTTTTGACATACAATTATTCTATATCCGGTTTTAAATATCTTTAATGCTATGAAAGGCAAATTGTAACGAATTTAACAAGATTTCATTTGATATATATATTTTTGGAAAATTTGTAAATATTAATCCCAACTTTGCTCCATTTTCTTTTAATAATCCCAACTTTGAATTATTCTAGAATAATCCCAACTTTGGGGGTTTTTTATTTTCTTCAATCCCTTTTACCGGTTACCGGTTGAAAAGGTTATTTTCTTTATATTGCCACGTGTTGAGATCCAATTAGCCAAAAAAATAAAACAAAATAAAGCAAAAAAATTTAAAAAAAAAATAAAAATCCCAGCCCCCACCGCCCACCGGAACCCTAGCAGCCCCAATCCCTTCCCGCGTCAGAAAACCTCACCGTACCCCTCCTCCCGCTGCCGCCTTGCCACCACTCCTCCTGTCCCGTCGTCCCCTCCCCTTCCTTCCCCTTGAATCACATCCCCGAAAACCACCTATCTCTCCTCGATGCAAGCATTTAAAACCTCCCCCGCCGCTCCAAAAGCCCACGAAACCCCTCCCCCAACCCTCGAATCTCTTGAGACAGGTGTTTCGTGGGTGGGGAAAGGGTTTCGTGGGCTTTTGAACTATTTGAAGCCGCAAGGGAGGTTTTTATTAGTTGTTTCGAGGAGAGAGAGGGGGTGAACGGAATGGCAGGTGGTGGCGGCTGGCCGACGGGAAGGTTGGGTTGGGTTTGCCGGTGGGGTAAATGGGGTTAGGTAAGTTTTCCGGTGGGTTAAGGTGGATAGGGGCGGCTGGGGTTTGGGAAACCGGTAGGCGGTGGTGGAGGGGATGGGTGGGGATTTCATTTTTAATTTTTTTTTTCTTTTTTTTTTAATTTTTTTTCTTTTTTGGACCAATCACAATGTGACTTGTGTCACGTAACTTGTGATAGCAGGTCATTGACTTTTGTTGACCGGTTTGGGATTGAAGAAAATAAACAACTCCCAAAAGTTGGGATTATTAAAAGAAAATGGAACAAAGTTGGGATTAATATTTACAAATTTTCCTATATTTTTTTCTAAAAAATTAATGTACATTTAAGGTTAAAGTTTAGTCAAATAAATCAAATCAAATATGAAAAAATAGGTTAGATTAGATCAGATTATAAAATACTAGTCTATATTAAATTATAGGAAAAATTCATTTTATAAATCCCAACTTTGGGCGGTTGACTTAAAAAAATCCCAACTATGTGTTATCTTGGAAAAATCCCAACTTTCATACCCATTTTCTTTTAGAGGACCCAGCAGGTCACCAAACCTACTACTTTAGGTTTCTAGGCCACGTGTCACACTTTAATTGGTCTAAAAAATTCGGAAAATTAAAATAAATCAGAAAATTAAAAAAATCATAATTTTTTTTAAAAAAAAATCAGAAAATTCAACATAAAAAAAAATCAGAAATTAAAAAAAAAATCTGAAAATTAAAAAAAAATCAGAAAAAATGTAATATAAAATAAAATAAAATAAACAACCAGCAACCCCCACCCTCAAAACCACCAGCCCCCCTCCCCCGGGAAGAATCCCTCCGTCCCCTGCCAGAATTCCCCCATCCCGATACTACCTTCCCCGACCCTCCGCCTCTTTTAGTTGCCGGAAAATAACCCCCACCGTCGCAAAACCCTCCCCCTCCCTAAATCTATCCCGTAAAACCACTCTCCCCTAATCCCCCACACTCAAAAATGCCCCACCTCCCTTCCCTCACCCCTGAAATCGACCCACGGGGAGGGAGGGGGCGTTTTTCGAGGGTGGAAGTTTGGGGAGGGGTGGTTTTATGGGGAGGGGGGAGGGTTTCGAGGGTGGGGGAAGGAATAGGGGTGGGTTTTGAGGCAGGGGAGGGCTGGGCGCCGAATTCCGGAGTGACGGGAGGTGTTTACAGGGGTGGGGGACGAATTACCGGTCGGGTGTCGGGTCTTGGTTGTTTACCGAGATGGAGGCTGCTGGTTTGGGTAGGGGGCTGGGTAGTTGGTTTTTTTTTTTTTTAAAAAAAAATAAATCAGATTTTTTAAAAACAATTACTAATTTTTATTTTTTGAGCCACTAACTGTGTGACACATTGACAATTTTTAAAAAAAATTAAAAAGTTAACCTTTTCTTCAGGTAACAGGTCATTTGGGTCTTATGAAAGAAAATACCCCTAAAAGTTGGGATTTATTAGGAAAAACGCGTAATTGGGATTTTTAAAAGTAAAACGCCCAAAGTTGGGATTTATAAAATGAATTTTTCCTAAATTATATAAGCAAAATATGGTGAACTAAATAGGCTCTTACCTTGAATAGGAGGCTGCGATGAAGTACAAAAAAGAGAATGAGTTCGATCAGGACAGAAACAATTGAATTGATTATTAGGCTCATCAAACACGCAATGCCCTCCAGTTTCTAAGCAGGCAGTACAATTATAGGCTTTCCAGTTCAACAACACTCCCCTTTCAAGCATATCCATAACTTTGCCTTTAGTCTGACCCTCATCATAGTAAGGCACTTCAATAACAACTCCATTACACTTTTTCTTCAAATCCTGCAATTTTGAGTCATTTTTGTAGACTGCCAACTTCCCACATTCCACTATTTTCTCCCTGTATTCTTTCAAAACCTTCTCAGGACAATCAGGAAACACATATACATAATCATGATTCGTCGAGAACTTCATCAGATCATTCTGTATCGACAGATTATGAAGAGGATGGAAACAACCCTGACTACTTTGACCACAAATCATATACTTCCTCTGTTTTTCTTTTATTGCACCATAACGACTTTTACACTTTTCACCTAATTTACTTTGACCATCTTTTGCGATTTATCTATTAGGAAGAACATAACCATGTGAGATCTAGTTAGATTCGTCTTGGACTCTACTTTTCAAATATTAATTTTTTTATAATTTTTACAAAAGTATAATTAAAAATATTAATTGTCAAAGTAGTGCATTGGCAAGCGTGAAACCTCTTATAGTGCAATAAAAAAAAGAACGCTAGAAAGTATGATTTTCTTATTTTCTTTTAAATAGAATAAGAGACCACTTAATTAAATATTGGGTCTCTTTGTATCAAGAGACCGCATATCTTAAGAATCCTAATGCCCATGTGTTTCACTATTTCAGAATGAGTAGTCATACTATAGGTTGTGAGAAGAAAGGCAGGAGACATAAATCAAGCATCTAGAATCTAAAATGATGGGTAAACAATTTTAAGAAATGAATAAATAAGTGCAAGGATAACCAACATTATAAGTTTGTCTTAAACTCTTAGGGCATGTTCATATTTACTGAGCTGAACTGAACTTAACTGATTGGAGCTGAAATGAGCTGAAATGAATATTTTATGAGAGGGGGAAATTAGGAGCTGAAGTGAAATGAAATGAAATGAATACCAATGTCACAAGTTTTACTTTTCTACTACTCCGTATTCTAGATGAGTTGTATATAACAATTGAATATCATAGATGGAGTAACGAAACAAGAGTTAGTATAATGTAAGGAAGCTGCATTGTTAGTTTTGTTTCGTCAAGAAATTTCCATAAAGTTATAGAAACTGATACAATCTAATCCTAATGCCCATGTATTTCAGAATGAGTAGTCATAGTATAGGTTATGAGAAAAAAAAAGGCAGGAAACACAAATCAAGCATCAAGAATAAACACAAAAAGGCAGGAAATACAAATCAAGCATCAAGAATAAACACAAAAAGGCAGGAAACACAAATCAAGCATCAAGAATAAACACAAAAAGGCAGGAAACACAAATCAAGCATCAAGAATAAACACAAAAAGGCAGGAAATACAAATCAAGCATCAAGAATAAACACAAAAAGGCAGGAAACACAAATCAAGCATTAAATTATGGGTGACCAATATCTTCAGTAAACTGTAAACAATTTTAAGAAATGAATTTATAAAAGCAAGGACAACCAACACCATATGTTTGTATCAATTTAAAATATCTGCAACGAGGCTAAAATTCAACCCATAGACCATAGAAATATATTCCTGTAGAGAAAACTTGGAGATAGTAAGAGACATAAAGATAGAAACTTACTCGGACATCTATGAGAATCAGAGAATGAACACCATAAGGACAGAAACACTGCATCTGTAAACTAGTTTCATTATGATATCCACATCTACCTCCGCTTTTAGCACACTCTCTACAATTAGTAGCATTCCATTTCAGCTGAACCCCCATCCTTAAAGCACCGTCAATATCAGTTACATTCTTTCCTTCATATGGCACTGAAACTACTTTTTTGCATTTGCCAGCAAATTGACTCAAATTTCTACCTTGTGCATATATGCCAATAAGATTGCCCCTACTTTTATTATTAAAGATGCATGACTCCTCCTTATATTCTCCTATGCTGTTTTTAACTTTATTGTTGCAATCTTGCAGCAAGAATACCTCACTATGTGTACAAGCAAACTTGAATCTATTCTCATCCAAGGTGAAGCTATGAAGACCGAGAGTGCAATTGAAAGTAGCATCGATGAAGGCAGTGTTCAGAATATGCATGGATTGAAATTCATAAAAAATTCCTTGAATAGCATATGTATCATTGGAGAGATTAATGATTAGATGAGTTTTGCTATTACAAGTGACTTCGAAACCCTGTTGGCCACAGATGGGTTTCTGTAGGCCTGAAATGTAGAAAGGGTAAGAGATGGAAATGCTTCCACATACTCTAGGCGTACAGTCTTTATAATAATGATCTAAAGCCAAAGAACGATATGTTAGAAAGGAGAGGATTGAGATGAATAGGCTACTCAGCTTGTAGAATCGATTCATTTTTGGATAGTAAATCCGAGTGACATGATTAGATCTATTACTAGTATTTTCTTCATTATGTTATCTCTTGTATTCAACACCATTGAAATGTCAACAAGGATGGATTAATACTTTATGAAGTCATTAATAGTAGTCGACTTGATTATTGGAGTTGGACTAAGTCAATTCATATGCACTGAGAAAGTAAAACTAATTGACTAAAAATGTCAATGGGGTGGGGTGAGACGGGGCGGATGTTGGCTTTCTCATCCTTATTCCCACCTAACATTTTTATCCTCATGCTCAAGGTGGATCACAAATTCTTTTATTTCCCCATTCCAACATGTACAATTTAAAAACCATCCCTGCCCACCCTCAGGTCCCTCACGGCCTCACTTGGATATCCACCTAATCCCCACCTAAGACTTGCCTCCCAAATACAATATACTATAATGTTATATATATAAAAAATAAATCATTGTTACTATTACACAATTTTATTTTATTTTTTTGTATAATAAAGTCTATTATATAGTAATATATTATTTTCCTTAATTTTTTTTTTTATAATATAGTATAAAAGTTTATAAAACATTTTTTAAAATATATAGATGTGGATATGGGGTGTGTTTGAGGCGGGTACGAAGTGGTCGGGGATGGGTCGGGTACATACTAAAATTAAATCCATCCTCGCCCCATCACCCATGTCGGGTATGATTTTTAACTTTTTATCCCTATCCCCGCTCCACTACCTGCCAAATAAATCGGGACCCATTCCCGTCTTAATAGGGCGGGAATGGGGCGAGTCTCCTACTTGACCCACCCCACCGAAATCCCTATAATTGACCAATATGCTCAAGAAATTCATTCAATTGGGTTGGTTGCCATTAAGAGTTACAAGCTTGTTTTTAAGCATATTTAAGTGAATTGCTATTTGCCACAATGAAATTACTCAAGCTATAGTATTAAAAGACTTTAATGCCCCTTATAATTTTGAAAATTACATAACAATCCAACCATTATTAACTACTAAATTTGTCTTAGCTCCAACTTGACCATTAGCTCCACCACCCATACCACCACTCACCTTTGACTGGTCCACCACCACGACTCCACCTTGACCGGTCCACCACGACTTCCACCTTGACTGGTCCACCACAACTCCACCTTGACCATCATACACCACGGCTCCACCTTGAATGATCCACTACCCACGACATATAAAATGAGTCGACGATGGTCGGCGTTCATATCGGAGGCACTTGGTGGGGACGACGAACCGTTGAGTCAAGTATATGTCGGACTTTTTTTTTTTCAATTTTCGTTGTACCCGGTCGCATGTTATTATATGCGACTATACCACGGTGTAGTCGCATGCTATATGCGACTATACCGTGGTATAGTCGCATATAGTATGCGACTACACCATCGCATATAGTATGCGACTACACCATCGCATATAGTATGCGACTATGCCATGGTATAGTCGCATGTAACATGCGACTACACCGTGGTAGAGTCGCACGCTATATGCGACTGTACCGCGGCGTAGTCGCACGCTATATGCGACTCCACCATGGTGTAATTGCATGCTATATGCGACTATGCCATGGTGGAGTCGCATATAGCACGTGACTATGGTATGATAAGTGGTTGATTTGGTGTGATAGATAGTGAGAAAATTGGATGATTCCGGCGACCTTAGGGTGGTGGTGGTGATGGTGTTTAATGTGATGGTGATTCCGGCAACCTTAGGGTGGTGGTGGTGATGGTGTTTAGGGTGTTGGTGGTGGAAGGAGTATGGTTGGTGAGAAAAATTGAATGATGTCAAACATGGAACTTATAAGGGTAAATGAGTCATTTAATACCGCGCCCTAAGTAATTCTATTGTGGCATTTAGTAACCCCCATATTTAATGGACGATGAAACTTCATTAGACTATACCAAGAAATCTAGAGATAACTAGGCAATAAAAACATTGGTTAATTCCAAGTTTCTCTTCTTGATAAACATGAAATGTATTTCATAGGGTTAAATTTGTCTTTTTTACTAATAAAACAAGGATAAAAATGTAACTTTCTATGTTTTTGTTCCTTTTGCACAAAGTATTCTCACAAGTTGTAAGTTCGTAACCTTTCTAAGAAATATTAACACCAAAAACAATGACTACAAACAGAATATCAAAAATTGACAAATATAGCATAATTACCGCACATATATACCCAAGATATAACTTTAGATTCAAGGAAGACTACATCATTCCTGGCCATTGAGGGTGGCTGGTTTTTTTTTCCTTATTTTTTAAAGAAAATTTATTTAATTTTTTTTTTTTGAATAAACTTAACGGAACTCTAACGGATTCCGTTAAGTGGTAGTGATTTTTAGCAAACTCTGATTTAGTTGGTAGTAAAGTAAAAAAAAAAAAAAAAAATTAAACCGATAACAAATGTGAAACATGGTATTTTTAGTGGTAGCAAATGTCAAAATTTCCTTATTCTTATATAATGCCAAACTCCTACATTTCAATCTTTTATCCCTATATACTTTCAAAATCTTCTCTGAACAATCAGGAAACACATGCATATACATAATCATGCCTCGTCGAGAACTTGATCAAATTGTTCTGTATCGATAGATTATGAAGCGAATTGAAACAACCCCAGCTACTCAGAAACATCTTTTAGTAGGGGAAATCCCTATTGATCTTCATGATTAAAAAAATTTCAATCTAGGGGCATTTACGGTATTTCAACCATTTATTATGAGGATGTAATGGTAACTTCCTTGTGATGAATTGGCAATCTACAATGACTAAGCTTCCACGTTAGTTTACCAATTGCCCCGTAGGATCTAACGCCATATGACGGCCGTTAGCTAGGTAGTGTTTATTGCTCTTTACTCTTCTTCTGACATAAGTCAAATTGTCAAAACACCTAACTCTCTCTCCTAGTATTTTCTCTCTCCTTTGTATTATGTATTAGCTAGATATTTGACATCTAACACTTGTTGAAGATAACGAAGGGATAATCACCATGTATCAAGTCAATATGACTTTTTCTATGTTAAATTATTTTGACATTGTTTTAACAACAGTGTTTTGACAATCTTAACTCATGTTTTATATTGTTCTGGGTTAATTTGTTTGACATGAATGTTAGCAATAACTGTATAAATTATGTCTTTTGATACTTCAATTTAATTATACATTTCGTTCTAAGAAAATTTTTGAGGTGAAAAGTTTCATAGAGCATCCACCACCTGAGATACATTCATCAAGAGTAGTTGCTTAGAAAATACACACTTTAGCCAACGTTTTTAAATTAGCTTAAAAACAGTTATGAAATATACACTTTGGCAGCTGATTATTTATTTCTACGTATCAGTTAATATTTTAAGAGGTCCGGAAACTATAAGGAGGAAGGGAATGTCATAGTTACCTAAATAAAATGTAGCCCCATTGCAATAGGACTAAGGATTTGTTCCCTTCAGCTAATTTTCAGTTCAGTTTAGTTCAGGTCCAATAAATTCAGTTCAATTCATTTGAGTTCTTAATTTTCTTCTCTTATAAAATATTCAAAGTTCAATTAAGTTCAGTTTAGCTCCAATTAGTTCAGTTCAATTCACCTCCAATAAATTCAGTTCAGTTTAGCTCAGCTTAGTTTAATTAATCAAAACAGACCCTAGATAAATAAGTCTAAAACATTTTTATCTTCCGAAATAGAATAAGTATTGGGCCTGGAGTGAGAGGCCCATAGAGACAATAGTGTTGTAAATTCTACTTATAATGCATTATAAAAACATAGGCCGGTAGCCCAGACACGATCTAGGCAATGTGAAAATTATTAAGTCAAAGAAAAATGAATCATCAATAACTATATACTAAAAGACACACCAGCAAATTAGCAATGACACATGTCATGTTCTGGTGTGTCCTAAGTTTTTTTTTTTTTTAAAGAAAATTTATTATGGAAAATAATCTTATACATTACATAGAAAAAAAGATACGGAGTAGAAAATTTATACATACATAAAAGATTATAAAAGATTTGATGTATATTTCTATAATCTATTGTCAACTATATAAACATAAGTAGATACGGTAATTTTTCTTATATATATAGAATTTGTGTCATATATTACAAGAATTTTATTTTTTTATTAATTTTATTTAATTACATATTAGAAGCTCAGTAGTTCGAATATCAAATATTAAAATTATTTTAAATAAAAAATTTGAGGTATCATTCCACAAAAATTTAAAAATATAACTGCTATAAATTTAAGCAACAAAAAAATGTCACGTTCTTCCCATAATTTGAGACATACATGATGTAATAACCGACATTTTTTAAGAAAATGATACCAATACAATTTGTTAGTGAAATCGAGTATATAAAAAAAATGCACATTAACAAATGTATAGTTTCAAATGCCCCAATCATCGATCACCTTTATATATACCCGGGTTCACATAGAGGTAGGTGTATTGGTGTACCCAAGGTAGTTTTTTTTTTTTTTTTTTTTTTTTTGCTTATTTAATATTTTTTTTTCTTCTCATTTAAGAGTTAAACAAAAATAAAAATTAAAAAATATATTGGCTAACATACTCTTTAATAAATCATAATATTCTAGACAAATTATATTGTATAATTAAACGTATTGTTAATATGAAGCGATTACTAAAAGTTACCGTGCATGGTACGGGACCTAACCTAGTTATAATAAAGTACGGGTCGCACATAATATTAAAGTAACTAAACCAATAATTAACCCAATTGAAATATATATATATATATATATATATATATATATATATATATATATATATATATATATATATATATATATATAAACCCAAGGCAAGAATTGTAATTATGCCACGTGTCATCATTTTTGCCACGTGTCGTCATGAATTGATAAATGATGTGGGGTCATGTGATTCATGTCATATTAAAACTAATCATTAATTTTTTCCTCACAAAAAATTAATGTTCATAAATGCTAAATTTTTAATCTTCATT